AGCAGCAAGAACCTGCTTCAGTCAGGGACATGGAGCTAAACTGTGCTAATGAACTACATTCAGGGAAGTTTCTTGATGATAAATGTACTTCTTTCTTAATTGGTTTTTAAATCACAAAAGAAGGCTTATTTTTTTTTTTAAAAAAAGAAAGTATGTAAAGTAAAAAGTGAAAATCCTCTATCCTAGTATTTACTTTGCAGAAGCAACTGTTATCAGATTCCTGTGTATCCGTACAGAATTTTCCCATTCAATATAGATAGATGCATACATTATTTTTGATGTTCTCTAAAAAGTGGACTCAAATTATTCATGCAAATTTAAAATTTCCTTTTTTTTCCAGTTATAGGTTGGCATAAAAGTATTTGCAGTATTTGCCATTACTTTCAATGGCAAAAACTGCAATTACTTTTGCACCAACCTAATATTTGGGCTCTCTGTGCCTCAGTTGCTTTCTGTAAAATAGACAAAAATAATAGTATCTCCCTTGGGGTTGTTAAGCTTAGAACAGTGCCTGGCACATAGGAAAGTAAGCTCTCAGTAAACTATTTTTATTATTGTTATAAATTATTAACAGTCATCTACTGATTTACCTTAGATTGTTTTAAATTTTTCATTATTATAAATAATGCTGTGATGAAAATCCTTAATTTCATCTTTGCACATATGAGCAAGCATTTCTTTTGGACAAATTCCTAGAGTTGGAATTCCTGGGTTGAAGGCTATGCACATTGATGAATCCAACTAAATCACCTTCTAAAATGTGTTCCTTAATACCACAGATCACATCCACAGCCTTCTCCAGCTCTGAGCACTATCCCTACTGTCCAGTTTTCCCTTATGTGGGGGAAGTGACAGTTCATAGGAGGCATTTCTCTTCTTTGGTGAGGTTATCCATCTTGCTACACATTTAGTGAGTATTTGTATTTATTCTTCACTTCTTTGATTATTTTCTCCTATTAGGATCTTTATTTATCTATCTGAAGAATTTTATTATATACAATAGGTACTAACCATCATTTGCTATAAATGACCAGCTGTCCTCTGCCAGTTTGAACCATCCATAACATCATACACAGTGCTCACTTTCAAGCATCCTGCATCCTGGAGGAGGGAGCCATCCTCTAGCTAGCATTCCATTCCAACTGTGACTGCATCAGGTTGTTTCATTGCTCTGTCAGACCAGCTGTTCCAAGAAGGATAGCATCTGATGTGACCAGCAGGTTCCACGGTCATGCACTCACTTCCAGGCTGCTGTAAAGCAAATTCCTTTACTTTGCTGTAAATTGGCCCCGTGTGATGTTACATGGGATCTTGTGATGATTAATTTAACACTGTGTAAGCCCTTAGATAGTGGTGATGGCTAAGACCTTGCAGGCAGGAAGGGTAAACCTTTATCCAGAAAATGTAAAAGTGAAACACTGCCCCTTCCAGGATAGAAAGGGTTCAGTGTAGTCAGCTTGCCACCAAATGGCCATTTGGTCTCCTAGAGGGATGGTGTCAAATTGGGACCAGCTTTTGTCTATGTTGGGGGCAGGATGGATGTCCAGTAGCAGCAACAGCTACATGGCAAGTGGGAGCCCATGCTGTTGGGCCCATGCACAGTCTCCATCCCTGATACCATTGGGTCAGCACTGACTGGGGTGACAGGTGACAGAGTTAGCTAATATCACATGGTCATGTCATTTGGTCCCCTTAATTGTTTAGCAACTGTTTCATGTTAGGAGCTTCCTACTGGGTGTTAACTTGTGTTACAAAAATCTTCACCCGTCATGCCTATTTCATGTGCCCATTCATATGCCATCTTGTCCCCAGTCTTATAATTTTCCAGCCCCCACTCCCAGGCCCTTGACCAGCTGGCCAAACCATTTGTTCCATGTATATCCTAACCTTGGATTGGGCCACTCCGGTTTTCCACATAACATGGACAATCAGTGTGCTCCCCAAAGCCCTGCCCATTGGGAAAATTTCCCCTTGTCACTTCTAAAAGGGATTATACTGCCAATACCACATATCTGGATTGTACCCATGTATGAAGCCAACCCTCTTGTGAACTCAGCTCTGTCTGTTTCCTTCTCCATTAGCTTAAGGACCCCTCCACTCTGCCTAGCAGTGCTGGGTGTGAGTGGAGGGAGAGACATAAAACACCAGCGTGGGTCACTGTGTCTGGGGTACCTGTTTCTGTGGCTGGTTTATTCCTCCTGCTCCTGCTCGTGCTTGGTTCTGGATGTTCTGCTTCCTTCTTACTGTATAGCTTCTGCTTGCCTGACCTTAAAACTTGTGTTTTCACAAGATCCTCAAGTTACTTTTGTGCCTGTAACTGCAGAGCAGCACTGGATAGTGGCAGTCAGACCCAAGGAGGGGTAAAAGTGATAGAACCCTCCAGACAGAGGACACAAGCAAAGGCTCCAGAGTGAGAACTATAGCAAGAAACCCAAATGGGAAAATGGAAGGGATCATGAGCCAATGCTGGAGACTAGATAACCTAGGGTGCAGGTGCCATCTTAGGAATTTGGGACATTGTTCTGCTGAGATGAATAGGAAGCCATTGAAGGGTTTTAGGCAAGAGTGTAACATGATGATTTTGTGTGTGCATCTGCATGTGTGCATGCCCATAAATTCATGTATATCTTTGGCTTCAATGTGCGAATGGTTGGAAGGGAAGCAAAATGAATGCAGGGAAATCAGGAGGGGATTATTGCAATAGCCAGGGGAGAAATGAAGGTAGCTTGGAGCAACATAGCAGCTATGGAAATACAGAGAGGAGAGGCAGATTCAGGAAGTGTCTCTGAGGTGGGATTGACAGGATTGTGTGTCTGGATAGATGTGTGCACAAAGAGAACAGAGCATCACAGATCATTTCCCCATTTCTGGCTTAGCAACCTGTGGATGGCTGTACAAACAAGATCTGCTTGGGACACATTTGAGGTGCCTTTGAGACATCCGAGTGGCAATGAAAAGCAAGAGTTGGGTTTACAGAGCTAGAGCGTAAGCAAGAGAGTCAGCCATGGGACTAAAGGAGGTCACCCACCAGGGTGAGAGCTTTGGAAAGAGGACCTGTTGCTCTCTTGAGAATTCCAACATTTACAGAGGTAGGCTGGAGGGGGAGGAGTTGGCAAAGGGACAGAAGGACAGCACAGCTTCCAGGGTGACCCTTTGCAATAGAAGCAAGTCTATGTCACTTTTCTGCTCTGCAGCCAATCAGATTAAAAGCTCAAGTCCTTATAATGGCCCCCACGTTCTACATGTCTGCTGCCATCCCTGGCTCTGTGCTAGCCCCACGGGCCCCACTGCTGCTCCACACACAGGCAGGTGCACTTGCTCGCAAGAGACTCTGCTGTAGTGCCCTGTCTCCCCAGTAATGCTCTTCCTCTAGATACCTGCTTGGCTCACAGCCTCCATCCTCATGTCCTAAGCAGGGCTTTCCCTGACCTGTTCTAACCACAGCCTGCCACCTGCTCCATCATTCTCCATTGGCCTGAACCTACTCCAATTTTATTTCTTTCCTTAGCACTCAAGCATTAAGCATACTCCATAATTTGCTTATTTGTTATTATCTTTAAAATTGTTCTGTCTCCCCTTACCTTAATAGGATCTTCCCAAGGACAGGGATCTCTGTCTGTTTGCTGATAAATCCCAATTGCCCAGTATAGTGCCTGGCACAGAGTAAAATGCTCTATAAATACTTGTGGTATAAATGAGAAAATCTCTTAAAGGGAGATATCCATGTAACTTCTCTCTGCTACTAATGGAAATGGAGTTTTTCCCTGACTATGCCTTGCTATTTAGTCTCCCTTTGGGGCTTCCATAGTTTTGGAAAGCCATTGATTGGGACAGGTTTCTTGATTCTCACAACTTCTCAATCTTTCCCACATTTTCTATTTCTCTCCACAGATACTTTAAAAAAAATTGAGGTGGCCAGGCGCAGTGGCTCATGCCTGTAATCCCAGCACTCTAGGAGGCCAAGGCAGGCAGATTGTGATTGCCTGAGCTCAGGAGTTCGAGACCAGCCTGGGCAACATGGTGAAAACCCATCTCTACTAAAATACAAAAAATTCGCAGCATGTGCCTGTAGTCCCAGCTACTTGGGAGGCTGAGGCAGGAGAATTACAAGAACCCGGGAGGCGGAGGTTGCAATGAGCAGAGATCGTGCCACTGCACTCCAGCCTGGGTGACAGAGTGAGACTCTGTCTAAAAAAAAATTGAGGTATAATTCACATACCATAAAACTCACCTTTATAAAATGTACAATTCAGCGTTTTTAAGTATATACACATGTTGTAAAATGATCACCACTCATTCTAGAGCATTTTCATCACCCCCAAAATAAATCCCATAACTGTTAGCAACCCGTGCTCCCAGCAGCCTCTGGCAGCTGTTAATCTACTTTGTATCTTTGTGAATTTGCCTATTCTGGATATTTTGTATAGATGGAATCATGCAATATGTGGTCTTTTGTGCCTGGCTTCTTTCATTCAGACAATGTGTTCAAGGTTCATCTATGTTGTCACATGTAATAGTACTTTATTTCTTTACAAGGCTGAAAAAACTCTCTTGTATGGATATACCACATTTTATCAGTTGATGGAAATTTGAGATGTTTCCACTTTTGGGATACTATGAATAATGCTATGAACAGTTACGTACAAGGTTTTGTGTGAATATATGTTTTTAAATTCTCCTGGGTATATACCTAAGATTATGGTAATTCTATGTTTAACTTCTTTGTTAACAATGTTTAACTCCTTGAGGAAATGCTAAACTGTTTTCCACAGTATTTACACCATTTACACTGCAATGGATAAGTGTTCCGGTTTCTCCATATCCTTGCCAATACTTACTGCTGTCCATAATTTTGATTATAACCATCCTCGTGCATATAAAATAGTGGCTCATTGTGGTTTTGATTTGGATTTTCTTAATGATTAATGAGTTAAGCATAGTTTTATATGCTTACCCATTTATATATCTTCTTTGGAGAGATGTCTACTCAAATCTTCTGGCCATTAAAAATTTTATTGATACTTTATGCATATTTATGGAGTACACGTGATATTTTGTTACATGCATAGAATGTTAAATGATCAAGTCAGGGTATTTAGGGTAAAAAGAACTACCATACCATCCAGCAATTCTTTCCCTATTTTTAAATTACTTGCCTTTTTATTGTTGAGTTGTAAGAGCTCTTCATTTATCTGGTTACAAGACCTTTATCAAATACATGATTTACAAATATTTCATCCTATTCTGTGGGTTTTCTTTTAATTTCTTGATAGTAATCTTTAAAGTTTTTTAGTTTCCATGAAAACTTTGGTAAAAGTTTGCTATTTTTTTCTTTGGTCCCACTTAGATACAGTGTCTGTATTCACTCTGACAAGAGGAAGGTGATAGCAGAAAGGAACAAAAGAAAAAGTGACAACTTCACAGTTCCTACTAGTGATGAAATTATTTAGAAAATTGCCTTTCACTAGGTAGTATAATTTCTGTTGGTGGATATAAGCCAAGTATGAGTCACATGCAAGTCATCATCTATTCCATTTAGCTGGATGGATTGAAGTAATGGTGAATATCACCCTAGAGGAAACCAATTAGTGTTTATAACATTGAAAATGATTTATAGATTGCTTAAGCATATCTATCAAATCTAAATGGAATACCCTGAATCACCTCCATAGAAAAGCAACACTGTGGATGATTTCTGAACTGCGGAAATTCTGTCCTTCAGATCTAACATCTTTGAGCAGAGATAGGACAGATTGCCATCTGGGAAGAGGCACGCCATTTTCTCCAGAAGTTTGCATTTGATTTAGATGGGTACATTCCAAGGAACATAGGATCCAGGTTCATCTCTTGGAATCTAGAATAAAGACAAATTTGGATGTTCAAACCTGGGAAATGTTTGTGACTTAGGTGAAAAACAGCAGAACATAAAGTAGGCTAAACACCAGCAGAGGGCAACCAGGCCGCGACAGGTCAGGGAACAACAGCCGGGGGAGGAATGGGGAGCTCCTGGGGTTATCATCTCACGCTTGAAGACAGCCCAGCAAAAAGTGGAGTGGGTCTCTGTTTCTCCAGAGTAGAGGCAGCAATTTGTGGGAGGCTTAGGGAAAACCATGAAGGATACCACAAAGAGCCAGTGTGAGTGGAAGATGGGAGGGGCTCTTCCTTTGGTCTAAGTCAGGGGGGTAACTGTGAACAGCATGACTTTCTTCCACAATTAAAAACGCTGTCCCTTAAAATACCCAAGGAGGGTAGAAATGTCTGCTTGGCAAGGGCACTGTTGCCAGAGGGGACGGGTTCCTGCTAGCACACTTTCCTGGTGCCTGTTTGGGGCTGGGGTGGAGACAGACTGTCAGAGGGGCCTATATTCCTGGCCTGGGTATCCTCGGTTCAGGGCACAGTTCCTGAACTTCTGTTCCTGACCGAGGTATCCTAGGAAGGGAGAAAAACAGGAAAGGAACATAAAATTGATGGGAATGAACCTTCTTTTGTCAAATGGTATAGAATGGAGTGAAGCAGGGCAAGGCTGATGAAAAAAGGCAACCTGAGGGGCACAAGTTCAAGGGCTCCCCTGTGCATCTGAGCAAATGCCCCCAAGTTTCCCATCACCTTTTCTGGCAAGAAAAGCCACAGTGATGGGTTCATGAAATCTTACCACAAGAACAGGGGCAAAAAATCCAGAATTTTATAATTGCTTTTTTTCTGCTGGGTAGAACATACCATTTTTGTGAACTTGTCTTCACAGGCCATCCTAATCTTCTCCGGGGTCAGTGGACTATTAAGCCTCAAGGGTCCACGTAGTCCTCTTTCCCGTCGCGCTGCACTCACCGCATCATGGATAGCGAAAAACACGGAGCATCCCAGGAAGACCCCCGACTCTCCCAGACCCTTGAAGGGAAGCACGCCAACTAGAGTATTCCTCTCTCTCTTACTCTACTTATGTGTGCCTATTTATAGTAAATGTGCATGGATAAAAATATTACATATGATATATGTGGGTTTTTGTTTTGTTTTGAGACAGAGTCTGGCTCTGTCGCCCAAGTGTGGCACTGGAGTGCAGTGACGCCATCTTGGCTCACTGCAACATCTGTCTCCCAGGTTCAAGCTATTCTCCTGCCTCAGTCTCCTGAGTAGCTGGGATTACAGACATGCACCACCACACCCAGCTTATTTTTGTATTTTTGGCAGAGATGGGGTTTCACCAGGTTGGCCAGGCTGGTCTTGAACTCCTGGTCTCAGGTGATCTGCCTGCCTTGGTGTCCCAAAGTGCTTGGATTACACGCATGAGCCACTGTGCCCAGCCCACGTAAATTTTTTCTTTAAAAAAGTAATTTAATCTTTTGATCCAATATTCCCATTCTTAGAATTCTATCCTAAAGAAATGACCTACATACAGAAGATAATTATTAGTTATGAAGATGATTATTGCAAGGTGAAAAATCAGATAGAAACTGATGACAAAAGTAGTTCATGTTAGGTTCTAAGATTTGGAATATTAAAAATTTTATCATGATGTTAGATTAGAATTAAAATGTTTAATGAGAATTTTTCTTCTGCAATCCTAGTAAAAATCCCAAACAGCCAAGAGATGAATGTTGCCCCCCTGTCACCCAACAGGCATCACATAAACATGCAAATTTCCCCATAGACCGTAACTTACCTTAGATGAATAAAGAGTATTTGAGTTTTGAGAGGGAGGCAACAAAGAAATGTGCAACTGTGTGGGCATGTCACAGATGGCAGGGATTTTATATTGGTCTGGACCACGAGTGTGCAGAACGCCCTGGGGAGAATAATTCAGTTCCTCTATAGTATAAAGTCCCATGCCTTGAATAAATGCACCTTCAATCTGAGGCAAGAACAAAAGAAGAATTTCCACATATGAGAAAACACAGTCAACAGTAAGTAACATTTCAACACATGCTGTCTGTTTGAATTTTAAAATTATAGTTTAAGAGCATATTCAGGGTGTCTTGGAGCATGTCACTGAAAGCTACCCTAAAAGCCATTCTAAACATCGTGTTCAGCACTAAGTTCAAAGAAGTTCAAAGTCAAAGGACTTGGGTTCCAATCTTGGTTTGGCCATTGAAATGATTGCTCAGGAAGAGTCTTCACAGAGACTGGAGCCTAAGCACCCTCTCCGCTTCCCCCCCCATAAGGCAGATGAAACTCTCTGACTGATGTATCCACAGATCCCAGGGCACTAGTGAAAGTTAGAATTCCATTGTCTCAACGCAGCTCCTTACCTGCAAACTGGCTAGCCTCACATCTCTGGACTCTGATTTAAGATGAGTCTTTGAAAACTCCAGACCATTCCCACTAAATGAAGTCTTGTCTCTAAAAGCCTCCTGCCCACCCGTGGCAGTCCCCGGCCCTCTTCTGTTCTCTGATGCCCACCTCCTGGTCCAACCCCCACCGCCACACAGGCCTTGCTCATTGTCATCAACCCTGGCCTGATCAGCAGCCATGAACAGGCATGCTAAATTCCATGTGTTTCTGTAGGGTGACTTCCTCCATTCTTCTTTCACCTCAAACATCATTTCTCGTTCTTTCCTTGACAACCTGGTTCATACCCTCTTCCTCCTTAAGCTTCTTTAGACTTCTCCACACCATAGATTCTTCCCATTCACCAGGAACACAATGTTAGGATGGTGGGGGCAGGGAGGGGACACTAGATGGTGCCCTAAATCGGAGTTAAAGAGCTGAATTCCTCCAGGTTTGAGACAAGTAAAGCAAGTATGTGAAGATTTCAGGTGGGTCCTGTGTCATTGGAGAGTGTGGGACTCTAAAGGTGTGGCCACTGATTTTTGCCTCATGGAAATGCAGATCCAGTGTGGGCACATTTTGTGTTTTCAAGAGAAGCTAGATATTTATGACTTTCCAACTATTTCAAATTTAAATTTGAAAATGGCTATGGGTGGAATCCAGCCCTACAGGCTGCCTATCGATAGCTACTGCTCTGATGACTTGAGGCTTATTATTCCAACGTGATTTCAAACTCCTTGAAGCTGAAGCCCACTGTGTGGCTAAGGTTCAGCACTGGGCACTAACTCCACTTATGTCCCAGCAGTTTGGAGCTCATCGGTCACCTCTAGACTTGGTCTTGCCTCACTCATGCTCCCCAGTCACAGATTGTATGTTCCTTCAAAAACTACCTAAAACACCTTTATTTCCTTCCCCCTTTTAAAGAGCAAGACATTTGAGCTCTGCAGTTGTTTTGAATAGAGTTGACTAAAGGGGTAGAAAAATAAGAGGATGAACTGAGCCTGACAGAATGTTCCCCCGCAGACCGCACTGCACATTTGGTTTTTACAAATACAAAATGAGACACATCAGTTCCGCATACCTGGCCGATGTCAAGGGCTGGATTTATACTGCAGCCAACATCCATGACAATGTCTGTTCTGATGGTCTAGTAATAATAATAAAAAAAAGTTAAAATGTTTATTTTAATGAAGAAATATTAGGGAGAAGAAGCTGAGGAACACTTCCTGCCAGGCTGACTTTGGTATAAAGCCTTTCTTTGAACAATGCCATTTCAGAAGAGGCAACAAAGATTTTATTATATGATACAGTTTATTATGTAAAACTTTCAAAATTATACAAATACTCTTAGCCTACTGAAGCACTGTTTAGTTTTTCCTTGGAAATAATAGGAGAAAAAAAATTACTTGATTTGGATTCAAGCTGGATGATGCAACAGTTTGAGTTTAATTCACTACAACAGATATAATATATGACACAACAAAAGAAAACATCTATGGCTTTCAGGATCCTAGTTGCAAAGCGTAATGGCTAGCACACAACCCAACATCCAGGTACAACTGGCTGAGGAATGTTTACTGAACCACACAGTTTGGGGTGCATCCACAAAAAAGTCTTTGAACTGTCATCTGCTATTCTAGACTCTTCATTTTGCGGGCAGAGGAGAGAATAAAGTTGACACTACAACTTGTTCCTGATAACCCACAAGTGAGGAGGAGTACAGCAGGCCCAGTCAGAGTGTTAGTAACACTTTGCTGTCCAGCAAATCTGTGCATTTTTAAAAAATGTGATGTAATGGTCTCTGCCATGAAACAGATTGTACTTATAATTACTAGTTGAACAAAGGAAATCCAAGAGTTTCGTTGTTTGACCTGGGACTTTCATCTAACATTTGAAAATTAGATGATCTGGAATGTTTGACCATAATAAAACTTCAGGAACTCACATCTCTTATTTAAAGACACAGTGAAGTATAAAATCCGCTTTGACACCAGTCAGCAAGACTGGCCTTGCAGGAGATAAGTGGCCTTAACTGGAGGTGAGAGAAGAAGCTATGAAGTCTTCAGTGTTAGTGAAGGTTCTGCTTTCAAAGCTGTGGGCTTAGGCTGGGTGGGCTGGTTCATGTCTCTAATCCCAGCATTTTGGGAGGCCAAGGCGGGCAGATCACTTGAGGCCAGGAGTTCAAGACCAGCCTGGTGAAACACTGTCTCTACTAAAAATACAAAAATTAGCCAGGGGTGGTGGCACATGCCTGTAGTCCCAGCTACTCAGGAGGCTAAGGCATGAGAATCATTTGAACTCTGGAGGTGGAGGCTGCAGTGAGGTGAGATCGTGCCATTGCACTCCAGCCTTGGCAACAGAGCAAGACTCCATCTCAAAACAGAAGAAAACAACCCATAAAGCCATGGGCTTTGTGCTGTGTGTGTTTTTTGTTAGGGCTGGAGAGAGTGGGTCTAGGTTGTGGTAGGCTGTCTTCAAGATGGCTCTAGATGATCCTCAACTCCTGGTATTCACATCCACATATAGTCTCCTCCTATACTCTACCATGGCTAACCTGTATGACCAATAGGCTATGGTGGAGGTGACAGTAATCACTCTGATATTAGGTGATTAAGCTGGGTTTCTGTCTAGGGTACTCTCTCGCTTGCTCATGCTCTCTCTTTTTCTCTTGGGCTGGGCTTTCTGGAGGAAGCCAGCTGTGATGTCCTAAGGACACGTAGGCAGCCTACAGAGAGGTGTCCACATGACAAAGAATGGAGGGGCCTCTGGCCAACAGCCAGTGAGAAGCTGAGGCCTCCTGTCAACAACGCTATGACAGAGGGAGGTGGAACAGGATTCTCCTGTCCCCATTGAGCTTGAGATGACTGTCGCCCCAGCCGCAGCTTGACTAAAGCCTCATGGAGAAATCACCCAGATAAGCCACTCCTGGAGGCCTGCCCCTCAGAAGTCATGTGAGCTAATGAGCATCCACTGTTTTCAGCACTAAGTTTGGGGGTAATTTGTTGCATAACAACAGATAACTGATATTTAGATGTAGGTTCAAAGTAAGGAAAATTTTGCTGGAATAAGGGCAATTCTATCAACAGGGGAACGGCTGAGAGCCAGGCCCCTGGGGAAAGACCCTTGTAGAATGTCACATTGTGGCTTTTGGCCTAGCAATGACACCCACCTGAGCTGAGATTTCTCTTTTATGAAGGCATCTGATGAGACTATATGGCACATCTCTTAAGATCATTCAAATAAGTTAAAAGAAATTGCCTTAAAATTTCATACTAGGCTAATTATCACCTTGTTCTTAGATCTTAACAAGGACAAGGCATATATAGGAATGACTAAGAAAATCCACATGACTAAGTTTTCACCAACTTTTGCTTTGAGAGAGAAGGGATTTAGAAATCACTTATATGAGCAGGGCACAGTGGCTCATGCCTGTCATCCCAGCATTTTGGGGGGTCAAGTTGGGCAGATCACTTGAAGGCAGGAGTTTGAGACCAGCCTGGAAAATATGATGAAACCACATCTCTTCTAAAAATACAAAGGTTAGCTGGGTATGGTGGTGCAGCCTCTAATCCCAGCTACTTGGGAGGCTGAGGTATGAGAATCGCTTGAAGCCGGGAGGCAGAGGTTGCAATAAGCCGAGATCAAGCCACTGCACTCCAGCCTGGGTGACAGAGTGAAATTCTGTCTCAAAAACAAAGAAACAAACAAAAGGAAATCAGTTGTATGAAAGAACCCTCTTCCCTAGTAGTGTAGGACTGCTACTCTAACACAAAAACTATGCTGAGTGATCGTTGTTTTGCCCTAGTTCGAGGTAACCCTAAAGAGATCCAGTCTGAGTTAGAATCACACAGGTTAGATACTTGAAAAGGCAGATTCAATAAAGGTGACTATAGTTTCAGAGATTAGGTTGACTATAGTTTAAAAAAATACATGCTGGGGGCTTATTAAATGAAAACTTAAATCTGATCACAGTCTAAGAATGCAGGAATAGAGGATATTTGTAAATATCAAGAATTAGAGTTTGCTTCTAGGTACATTTTGGAACAGATTATTACTAAACTGGTAGCTTGGTCACGTGACAATTGTGAGGGTATCACAGTCCCATTTAATGCATCAATGAGCATTCATTATTATTGACAGTGACCAGTAAGTGGCTCCTTTCACTCCCGAAGGCTGTGGTACAATAGGAGAAATTCTATGAGTCTTTGAAACAAGAGAGAGAGAGAGAGAGACAGAGAGACTGAGAGAGACAGAGGGAGCGAGAGAGAGAGAGAGTGTGTGCGTGTGTGTGTACATCTCTTCAAAGCATCCCTTGAAAGCACAAGGACACTCTTAAATTATCTAAAAAGGAAGCCAGCTCTGTGGCACAATGGGTAGTGCATTGGACTTCTAAAAAGCAAACCTAGCTGAGTAAAAGACATCAAAACATGGCCACTGACTGCCCTGGGCTGGCTTGGTGCTTGTTAGCAGATTACAGATGCCTATGAAATCCTTCAAGAATGTTGTATCTTGGCCTTTCTCATAAGAGGTCAAAATTGCTTGTTGTGCCAACAGTCTACATGAAAGCCCCCTTTTGAGCATATCTGTTTCTTCATGTGGTTTCTTTCCTGATTCCATTTAAAAGGGCTGGGGAAATAAAGAAGACAAGTCACCAGTTGTTTTCTGTGGCAGCAACCAGACCACCAAGGCAACTGTGGGGATTCTATTTTCTTCTGGTAATCCAGGCAAATCACCCTTAGGCCAAATGAGTGTTGCCACTCACTCAGCTCTCCTCAGATAGATGGCATCTGTGGAATTTAGGTGCATCCTAAGTGCAACTTGAAGGCCTTTCCAACCAATACTGACCTTATGATCCCCCGTCAGGCAGTCTATTTCCACCTCGGAACAGGCAGCTCCATAAACAAAGTATTCGAAGGGGTGGCCTTCGCCTTTCTCCCAGTTCATGTCTGACTCATAACCCCTGGAGGAAACAGAACTCTTGAGTGTTATTAAGTGATCAAGTCCTCTAATTGCAGACCATGATGACTAGACAGACCCATGAGGAGTTATGCAAACCACAGGAAAATACTTGTACAATAATATGCCAGCACCTAATGTATGTGCAATAAATGCATTGAATAAATATTTAGTTTTTTCTTTTAAAACTTGCTTTGTCTAATAAAAACATCTAACTACTCCTGACTGGTGCCTCCTTACTTAGCTTCTTACTTCAATGAATGTCCATCTTACTGCTTTTAGCTAATATTGGATCATGTAATTGTCATCAGATTTGGGGAACTCAACCTTCATTTTACACCAAATGCTGTTTCTAAGGTGCGCATTTGCTTGCTTTGTCTATCTGGCTCCAGTATTTGCCCCTGTGTGTGAAGGATCAGGTCCCACGACCCCCATTCTTTGCCTCTACTCTGGTCTCTCACCATCAAGCTCCATGGCCTGCTCTGTTCCTAACTAATCTTTAAAAACATCAAATAAATATTAATGGTAAAAGAGAAGCAAGGGTCAGTAGCTTGCAGGACTCTCTACCCTCTCTCCTCTGCTCCCCTGCAACCTGGAGGTGGCCATTACAAATGCTTCCAAAGCCTGTTCCTGACAGGCAGTCAGTGCCCAGGACTCCCACGGCAACAGCAAAGTGACCAATCCAGGTAAGGCTCTACATCACCCTGCTCTCAGACAGCTTTCCCTCTCCATTAAAATAATTTAATAAACTGTTTTCCAGATTCAGTGAGTTCCTGTTGTTTCACATCTTAATGTAACATGGTTATGGTCTAATATCTTTTTGTAAATCCTGAAGGTGTAAAATGGTATCTATCTTGTGGTTTAATTTGCATTCCCCTACCTTTGTTTCTTAAGAGATAGGCTGTGTTTCCAACAAAAAGTCAACCACTGCTGAGTATTCCAAGTACTAACCCCAGAGAGCCTTATAGTACCACCCACTATGATTAGAATCATCAGTTCAGCTGAATTTTGTGTGCCTATTTTCCCTAACAGAAATCTTTCTGGATATTAGCAGTTAAATGTTCTTTATAACCGTGGGTAAATAGAAGGTACAAAGTCAGCATTTGCCAAATTGCAAGGGAACTGAAACTTTTCCTCAGCATACCACTGTTATCTTCCATAACATGTGATTGGAGGGAGGATTTACCTGAAGTATCCAACAGCTGAAAGACTAATGCTTTCATTAAAAGCAGTCTGCGCCTGTGAAGGAAGAGCATAGTGTGATGCAACAAGGATGCCCAAAGAAAGAATCACTCAAGACTTCAGTTTTAATTTTACCCCGTGTGTTAAATAAAATTACCAGCAACAGTAACTAGGAAGGACCCAGATTAGTCCATTCCTTTCTGCATTCTCCATTTCCACAGGCATTTGTGGTTCACAGCTTGTAGTTGTTTGTTCAGCACATACAATTGTAATAAATGCCTGCCGTGGTACGCTGCAGACTGGACTAAAGTCATCAACACGTGTTCCACTTAGGAAGAAATTCACTCGGTCATCCATAATAAATTTCCAATTAACATGGGACATTTTAGAAAACAATGGTTGGTTGGCTGCTTAATTAATTTTAATATCAGGTTCCTGCTAGTCTATAGAGTAAGGGTTCATTTTATAATTTATAGTTATGGGAATTGTCAATTCTTTCTGGGCATATTTGTTTCAGTTAAGGGGAATAATTTTGTTAAATTGTACCATTTACACCAAAAGGTCTCTTGACGCGGCAGTGCACAGAGTTGACTATTATGCAGAAAAATGGGGGTTAGGTCCAAGTCCCCAAGTCTATGAATGAAGGTCAGAAGTGCATCAATCATTAGAGAAGACAGTGGGCTGAATGGCTGTATTTCCTGGTGGTAGGGGAGTACTCCTCACGCTGCACCTCTCTCCAGCTTTCTCCAGCCACAGCAACTCAGCTTATTGGACTCAGGCAGCACAAGGGAGAGGACAGAAACAAATATGCCCAGGAAGCATAGACAGACGTCATAAATATGAATTATAAAATGAGTCCTTACTCTGTGGAACAGCAGAAACCTTTAAACATTTCCTAAGTGGGATTCCTCAAATGCTATTTCCCCTAGACCTGTACTCGTAAGGTTGCAAAAACTGACATTCTAGAATAGCCAGCGTGACACACGCTCCCAGCTTTTATGGATATTCATTCCACAACTTCTGGTAGTTGATAACCTATTACTTTGAAAAGTTCGTTAGTTGACTTTAGAATGTGTCTCCTTTTCCAACTAGATTGTAGGCAGATCAAAGGAAGCCGTTGAGTATTTCCATTCTACTGAGTACCTATTAGTGGATGAACATATGCCCATTGGCCTGGTTTTCTATTTCTAAATGAGCGCTTATATGATTTTTACTTTTACAGAATGGTTCTACTATTGTTTTTCTATTTTAGGAACAGTAAAACCCAAAGAAGGAGAAAAAACAGATGTAATGTTATTATCCAGACAATCCCTAGGTTCCATAGGATGAAACATTAATGAATTCTAGATTAAAACAGGAGTGCTGGCAGAAAAACCATCTTTCTCGCTAACAGACAATTTTCCCAGATGCATGAGTTCCTCTACTACATTGTGATAGGATTTCCACACGCTAAGAGCCAAAGGGCCTTTTACTTATCATTATGCAATGGTGGTACCTTTGCAAATGCCCTTTCTGCAGATTTTAATTAAGGCATATTGTTCCTACTCTCCTCCCACTCCTTTTTCTTCTAAGATAAAATACAGAGAACTGTTGATTCTCACCCAGTCTTTCCAAGTTCCTTTAGGATTCTTGCTGATGATGGGTTCGAGGCGTTTTAGAAGAGTTTGACAGGCATTCTAGAAATTATTTTTAAATGAAAATGATTATCCTAATTTCATGCAAACATCAAATTCAAAACAACATAATATGTACCATTCCATAGGCTTATCTAAGAGGGAACATGCAAAAATAAGAAACCAACCCTATATGAAGGTGATCTGAAAGATTTCATATGAGTGTGTGCACATGCGTGTGTGTGTGTGTGTGTGTG